TATATATATATATATATATATATATAATTCTATGTTATATAAAGAAAATAAGTTTATATATATAAAGAAAAAAAATTATTCTACCTGACATTGACGCACGAATCGTGCAAATCGAGGATCATGACGCAAATAATACTTATAAGCTTCTACAGCATCCCTGTGACGGCTACAGAATTCACCATAGGCACTCTTCATACGTTGTGCATTCTCTCCAGAGAATTGATCCACTAATATATCAGCAATTGTAGGAACAATAGAATTTGTATTTTGCCTCTTACGTAATTTTTGCAGAAATCGTAAATGAATATCAATGAGATCACGTAGTCTTGGGAACATGCGTTCCAGATCTGCTTGACCAAAACGAAAGTGACGTCGCAGACCTTCCGCGAAAATTCTCTCCATAGCGAGAAGTACTAAACAGTGATGTTTTTCTGTAAGTACAAACTCATAAATGTGTTCTTGTCTTTTTACTTTTCGTTCACAGTTATCAGCTAGACGCAATGCAACGTTATGTCCAATGGCAGCACTCCAAGAGTCAGGTTCTTCTTTTGCCAGGCCCAATTCAGGATCCAAACCTTCCAGATCACCCACAGTGAATTGATAAGTGTCATCTCCAAGATCATATCCTTCTAGTCCACTACAATATTATTTCAAACAAAACCTTATAAATTAGATATTTCATGAAAAGAATTTAATAATTTTTTTTTTAACAAGTTTTTGCAAACCTGGATATATCACGTCCATCTCCATCTCTCTCCTCATTTATTGTTTGACTGAAAGATATAAATTCATATTTCAAAATACTGTTTCTCCCACAGAGAAGCAAATATGTATACATTGTATTTCACGATTAAAATTATACATTAAAAATCAATTTTATTTTAATGCTGATTTGAAAACTAAACACTAGTGCCACATTTATCATAACCTGAAGTAATAGAGGGAATAGTGACACAAAATTATTAATGCAATTCTAATTAAAGAAATCTATAAGGTCAATATGATTTAAGAAGATACTTCAAACATATTACAATTAGTAACCTTTAATAGTTTACTTATCAGTCATGAATAGTTTTTTATATGTTAAGCATTAGGGATGTGCAAATACTCGAAATCACAATATGATTTAATAATAAAATGGTATCCTCGACATGAATTTTTAAGTAGTACAATATTTTTAGATCAATTTGGACTAATTTGGATTTTATTTTTATGAATAATTATTAATTATTAACAAATTAGATTCCTTTGGTCGACTTCTTCCAGTTTGATCCTTTCCTGTAATCTCTGGTATCTGCACAAAGAATTCGATACTTCTTCAATAAGATCTAAAAACAAATCGGCAGGTCTCATAGCCGTTCCAATATGTCATTTATACCTACCGAAGGATTTAATGCCATTTAAGTGAATATAAATGAAGATTTTATTGAAAGATTTCTAAATCACATAATGTGTTTGTGATGCAATGCAAATGTAGTTTATATTTACTTGCATTAGTTTATTATTACTTGCGTCTTTAAAAATTTGAATGATGAAGGCTTTTCTTTGTTTTATTTATTTTTATTTAATATAGAGTGAATCAACTTGACCATAGTAAAGAAGCATATGGCCTGCTTACCTGAAGATATGATAATAAGCACTATTTTCGAAAGTCGAATTAATTAAATTAATTTCAAAGACTTTATCCGATAAAAGGTTTGTTTTATAAGCAAAATTTCAATATGGTCATATTTTCTGAAAACTTGATTTTCAAAAAGAAATCTAAGAAATAGAAATTTTCTAATCTTTTCAACATTACAATAAAGGTTTATTACTGAAATATATCAGATCCTGCGAATAATTCCAGAAATAAAGATTTTGAAACATCTACAGCTCATTTTAGCGAGAGACAAACAGTAAAGTTTAAAATTCCATATTTTTTAAATAAATTTGAAACATAATAAATGATTAACTAAATCCTCCTATGTCTAATTTTTATTTTGAGAAATATCTTTGACATTCAGAAATAATTAATTTGACATAAAATGGATAACGCAATAATCTTCCCCAACTTGACCCAAAAGTTTTTTTTATAAGCGAATGATGCTGAGTGTAGATACTGAGATACATTTAATGTGGAAGAGATTGTAAATAAAGCTATACATTCATACTATGGAGAGAAAGTCAAAATGGAGGATAATAAAGAAATTCATATTAATTGGAAACATGAGAATACTAGATATTCATTCTTGATGATGCTTGATGAAGAAATCATTTTGTTGTTTGATAATTATAAGTAGTTTGTAGTATAATGATTGAATGAAGTTGTAAAAAGAGATGTATACACAAAATATATCATTGAATAATTATAAATAATAGAAGCAAGCATATCAGAAGCATAGGCAGGGGCAAGGTGATGTCTCTGTCAATACAACACAAAGAAGCAATTCAATTGCCTTTTAAACAATGTGTGCGAGAAAAGAATCGAGGAACGATAGACGCGGGTCATCCTACTACTGTGTAGGATTTAATACACGAACAGAAACGTACGAACGCTTCGACAGAATAGAAGGAACACATCAGACATCTGAGACTTACTTGACTCCGAGCTTAGTGGCAACTCGCCGCCAAGGGCTGTAGCTTGTCACGGCTTTCTTGCTGTTAATTTCCCTTTAATCGTTGAACAATCGATTGGTTTGTCGTTGCACGAGAGGGAATGCACGGGGAAAGGAAAAAGCACACACTGCATTAGGGCAACCTCATTTTGCCTTTTGTTTCCCTTCCTTCTTCAGTTTTCTTATTCTAGCATTTCTCAGTTTCCATATATTACTTGACAATACACATTCTTTTTGAAACATTGCCTTTTTTGGAAAGACAATTTAATGCAACGAAGAATATATAGATATGTAGTGTTAGAAAAAGATCATGTACACCTTTTTTAAATTGTGAAAACTATCATTTTTCATTAGTATATCTATGATTCATATTAAACTTATAAAAACAATAATCATACGATTGAAGAAGTTTGGGCATAGAATTTTGTATGTTAATTAACATGTATATGCAAATGTTTTTATTAATCAATGTTAGAGACGCGAGGATAAACACGCTAAAGCTTGCCATACTATTGATTAAATTGCAAAATTAATTAGAAATAAGCTTTTGAGCCAGCCAAAGCTTCTGAATAATAAGCAGATGTAATAATACTTTCTCTAGCTATTTATTTTTTATATGTGTAAAAATTCAATAAGAGAAATTTCACAGAGTAAAATATAAAAAGTTATTTAAAATTTTAAATATATGTAAGTACTGACATATCAAAATTTTGTTGATAATTGATCATATTAAATTATCAATGAATAAGTGGCGATTAGTTAAGTTTAGTTTTATCAGATGATACATTTTTATAAAAATCGAATGAGCAGAGAAAAATTAAAAAACCGCAAATTCTTTGCTGAGCGCAAATATGTGTATGTATTCTTTAATTTATATAGTACAGTAGAATCTCTAATATCCGAAAACCTATCATCCAAATATTTTATTATTCTATATTTCTATTATTTAATAGAATTCGTTAAATGTTTTAATATCATTAAACTGTATGAGTATTAAAAGTATATTTTGAAAATTTTTTTCATAGTAAAAATTATTAGTACATGAATTATAAAGAATGTAATAATATTAAAGTAATACAAGAATATTTTAAATTTAATCACAGCATAATTTCAGCTTTAATTAACAAAATTGTCAGAAATATTCCTGATTCTTATGCTAAAAAAGAGAACAAATTTAACGAAAACAGCAATAAAAATGTGCTTCCTTATGCCAAAACATGTGTGACATTACAATTAAAAAGACTTATATAGTTTAGATTTTAAGTAGAATGTAATTCAATGCACATCAACATACTAAGGAATTTATATTTCAGCAGTAAAAAAAAAAATAATATTCATAAGTAATTAAAAACTACATTTGTATCACATCTTCATTTATAATTATTCTTGTATCATTCATTTTAAGTTATAGTCACATATCATTCAGCTATTTTAAAATTCTCTTATCTAAAAAGTCATGCCTTCCTAATAATTCGGATGCTGGAGGTTCTACTGTATATCTGTTCAAAATAAAAGGAGTTTGTAATAAACTCCGAGTTTAGGCCTAGCCATGCCAATTGCGTGCGAATCTTGAACCACTGATACGCAGATCCAATGCAAGAAATCTATAATTTTAATAATAAAAGTTATTTACCTCCCACTTCCAGACGTCGGTAAAGGTAACGATGCAGTAGATCCTCTCTTAATATTATAACTACTTGTAGTTGAGGACATATTTGATGTAGTTTTGATGGTACTTTTATCCTGTAATTTCAACGTAATTCTTATTTATATTTTATCCATGTATTTAAGTTTTTTATAATTTTATTATAATTTTATGTTAATACCTTTTTTTTACGGAAAAAAATAGAACCACGTTTTCTTCTAGTTTTTTCTGATTGATGGTCATCATATACAGTGCCACTAAAAATAAACATGTATGTATGTATATATGTATATATGTATATATATATATATATATATAACATTTATATATATTATTTATATATAACATTTATATATATATGTTATATATATATATATTACATATATATATATATAACATTTATATATATTATTAATTTGTAATATAATTAATTAAAATAATTTACAATACAAAACGGTATAATATAAAAATGATTATAGCAGTAAATATATTTACAAGCGATACATATGGTGTATTTACATTACATGATTAAAATACAAATAAATTGTAAATTATGACTAAATACATACATTATTGAACATTTCAATGAAAAAATAAAGAACACATAGAAAAATCTAAATAGCATTATCATAATCTTATTGTCTTACAATCTTATTGTACAATATAAAAAAAAACATAATTAATGATGAAGCTGATACAAACCAGTTATTTTTTTCCTTGCGCCTTGTTAGTAGAATATATTATACAAGGTGTTTGGTAACAAGTGATAAAAGACTTAAAAACTGCTTCTACAAACTAATACAAAAATAATATGAAAACAAGAAATAAAAAAGATTGCGTTTATTACTTTGTTTATTACTCATTGTTACCTAAAAATCAATCAACATATTTCTAAGCTCAGCAATGTTACATGTTACACGAACTCAGTGATATATTGTGGATTAAAAGACTCTTGTCCTTACAAATTTTTTAAGTGAACAAATTTAATAGTTTTATATTTATTATTATTTAGATATTTTAATTGATTCTGAAATGCTAATAACTAATAAATAAAGTCTCAAATACAATTTTTGTTATCCTTTATTTTTATCTAACTAATAATTATTAGTTTGTGGAAGCATTCCTTAAATTTTTTTACTATTTGTTATCAAACACTCTATATACACGTGAAAAACTAAAAATGTATAATACTCACTCCGTTAGTAACTCATCAAAGGATATCTGAGTATTTGGGGTGCCTTCTCTGTCTTCATAGAATTCATGGCTGTTTGGAGTATGAAGATCCTCAGTTTCAGTCTCACTTCCACTACCCTTTTCGTTTCTTTCACGTCGGCTGTACCATGCAGGATGGTAGGAAATTGTCAAGTACAAACACAAAGTATGCGACTATTGTGTAAAAGATGCAAATCAGATATTCTCGCATGGTTTTCCACCGAGATAGTGCCACAAAGAGATAGTGACGCAAAGTTAATTAGAATGTACAGAAGAGTGTTTAAATAATTATTAAATGATTATTTAGATTATTCAATGTGAAATTCAAAATTTTTAAATAATTTTGGGAATTCAGTATTATGAGGATGAACTAATATTTTAACTTCAATATAAGTGCAATTTAATTTTAAAAAATTGGAAATTACTTAAATGTAGTAATAAATAAGTGCAATCATGCTAAAATACTTTCATCTACAAAATACAAGTTGATGCAAGCATTCTTAGATGTAGGCAAATTTTAAAATCTTTTTTGAATATATTGATAAACCATGCATTAATTATTTTTTACTGTTAATTATTTAAGTTTAAGTAAAAAAAATATATATATATATGTATACATATATCTTATACTTTATATACACATAAAATATGTGTTACTTTGTATACTACTTGTACATGACATAACAGAAAGATTGCAAGCTAGATCAGTAGATTTTAAGTATTTGTTAGCAATTTTAAAAATTGATATTATTTAAATGATTTAAATTAATACAAAACTAAAAATAAAAAATTTAAAATATAAGGTTTATATTACAAATTTTAAATTAAAAATTAAAAACTATACTTGTCATATCTATTAATAGATAATATAATAGTTTAGAAATTTCCATCACTATTGATCTAGCTGTTCAATCTAAAAATACTTTTATCAACTTACGCTGTAAGTGATGGTGTTGTTCTAGTTACAGTTTCTGATAAATGAGCATTAACTTGAGGTGTTACAATTGAAGGCGTTGAAATAGATTTCTGAAGAGGTAAACGAGAGCCCGTAAGACCAGGCATTAAACCACTACTGTCTGCTAATCTTTGACTACCTTTGAATCGTTTTGCAACTATCTTCTGATATTCGCTCTATTAGAAAAAAAAATTTCGATGTATTTTGTTACAAATTAAACATTTAAAAAGCTTCTCAACATAAGCATCTTTTAAAGTACCTGTACAAGATCAGCTTCGTTGAGAGAATGAGTACTTGCTTGTGATCTGCATGCTCGACTACCAGTTCCTACAGGTCTGCTACAAGATTTTCCATGTAATTCTATTTCCATTTCACTGTCTAAGCTGCTTAAACTAATACTGCGTTGTCGCTGAAATTGTAATGGTTAAAACATTGAATATAATAATGAAAGAAATAATGAAAGAAAAAAGTAATTAAAAGCTTTGACAAAGTAAATTAAAAAAGCAATGAAGCAATTATATTCATGCTATATGTGTATAATGAATAATGTATTTCTTTAAAAATGTATCGAATATTAACCATATTTTGTGCTTGTAGGTGATTTTGTCCAGAATATCTGCGACGTCCAGATCGAGTATCTTCCAAATCAGTCCAACTGCGTCTTCGGTCTATACCTTGTGCATTCTGTGAACGAGGACCTACTGGTGGAAAATGTGTAGGAGAGCTGTTGGTGGAACAGTTAGCAAGGAGATCAGGATCAGATCCTGTATCATTATTGCTTGAGCGTGGTGCAATTTCAGGTGAAATGAAAGGACATAGGGAAGGACACGATGAAGTTAACCGTTGAGGTACATCATTGTGGGATGTGCGATGATTATATCCCCAGTTGCTTAGCGTCAGATCTCTCATACGCTGAATACAATCATGGATTTCATGCAGATGTTGCAAGTTGTCCTCTGCAAGGAGGTGAACAAATTGTTAGCCACAAAAGCACATAGAACTTTCTAGTGTCAAGTGGTACTGAGTTCAATGAAATGTAATGCGTAGGGTTACACAAGAATTAAAAAAGTTTACCTAAAACTGGGTAGTTCTTGGCAAGACCAGGTGAGTGAGGCGTGACACTGATAATTGGCACCAACGGATTAGTCTGAGCTTGACTATTAGTGCCAAGTGAAAGTAATGAATGCTGCTGCTGCTGCTGTTCATCAGTCCCTTCAGACATTGTGATAGCCGTTTTCTCTGTATTGTCTTTGGTGTAGCTGGTCTCAGTAATTATATTTCCATGTAGATTTAAACTACCAAGATCTCCATTAATAATAGGTATACGATCGCAATCAGAATGCGATGATCCCAAATAGTCAGTTATTACATCTTCTTCACTATCCTCCCCACACTCATCTATAAGCATATTAAAGACACATTTTTTTAATACGTATGAATAAGACAAAACACGATAATTATTATTTAAACACATTTGACAATTACTTTAGGTAGTAAAAATATATATCAAATCTTGCAACGGAAATTATTTAAACTATGGAAAAGATTGTACGACGATACTTTCACGAAAAAGACGGTGCTCGCGTGCAACAAGGAATATTGCACTTCGTGAACTGCATCGAGATACGAGAAAACCGATATCCAAATGTCCTCGCGCCTATTGACTGCGAAAGGAACAAATAGGACCCGCTTGTGACAATTGCAGCAGCCTCCCGTTCTCATGTCAGTAATGCATAAAGATATATTACAATGAAAACTAGGTCAAATTCTTGTATGATACGCATTCGTATTTTCAACTTCATGAACGTACGAATATATCAGCACGAAAAAAATAAAGCTTGCCGGGCTCTTTTTATTGAAAGAATGAAACACTGAAAATGGTAATTCTATTTTATTAAATTAACATCGGTCAGATAATCCAAGGTCGTCTGTCAAATGTCAAAATTCGGAAACAAGTATGCACGTCCTACTAAATCGATTTAACTTTAATTGATAATAAATAAAAATAAGATTGTCATCTCGATTCTGTCACTTCGTTCGATGAAATCAATTCTCTCGTTACAACTAATCGAACATTTACACGTTCGATCTTGCCAAAAGAGTGGAAAAAAAGAAGTTTCGATATAAATGTCACATGAAACTGTCTGAATACTAATACTAACGACACTCCTGACGAAAATATTCAATCAATTAATTGAAATGTTCTATTATACCCACATGTTGATTTGATAAACCGTTTATTGTCATCCTAGTGTCGAGAATAAATAAAAGAGATTAAATCGTACCAAGTACTTTTCCGGGAAGCAGGGGGTAGACACACTGTTGCTTTTCCCCGTAGCTTCCAAGCGCGAATTGATCCGTTGGTCCGCGCGTGCCACCCCACCTCCATGCACCCCCGATCCTTAACCGACCTCCAACCTTCAATCTAATACCTTTACTACCGCCCTTTTCAGTAACTTTATCTTATGCTTTCGTATTCATAATTCTTCTTCCGCGGTTAAACATTGTTTCTTCAAGAATTATCAGATTTTAATCAAGATATTTTTAAATCCAGATTGTACATAGAGTTTCATTTTAAACTGTACTATCCTGTACTATCCTGCCTAACCCCACTAACGACGAATTCACTCGATCATGCTCTTAAACTTCTCGTATATTTAATATTGTTTAAACACTAATTAATTTTTACATAAAAGTTATTATTTAAATTTATTTGTTTCGATTTTTATATTTTTATCGAGGGTAGTATTATAAACACCGAAATATCTTAATTATGATTTAAGCTGCTTAACTATAAATTATTTCAAATATTTTCTATGTTAAAGTTCTATATTTTGAAGTATTGATAAAATGTATAATTTTAGAATACCAGTGTGTGTTAGAATACACAGAATACTGTATCTTTTGTATCAATTTTATAGTCATGGAAGCACTGAGGCCAATCATGTGAAAATTAAATTCCATATTCTATAAATATAATAAATAACAAATTTCTTTAAACAATTATTATTTTAAAAAATTTATAATCAAAATATTAAATTAAATAAAAACTAACATTCAATACAATAGAAATTTGCTTCCAATTATTAAATAAAAATAAAAATTATATATATTTATCTTATTTGAAATTGTTATTCCTTTTAAATTTTAAAAATTACAAACTAAATTGTTTTGTATCTAACTATGATACTAATTGTAGTTGATATACATGGTTTTATTTATATATTAAGTTATTAACATTGAAAAATAGTAATATATTCTATTATAAATATATAAAAAGATTATTCATATGATACCTATATGAAATATTAACATTAAACATTATCATAATATACCTTAACATTTATAAGCTAAATAAATTTTAATTCAAATTTTATATTGTTACTGAATATGTCAATTCTTTAAAATAATTTTTTATATTGAATGTTTAAAATACATATGTACTATATTTTAATACATCCCAAATAAAACTCTATAGTGCAATTCTATGTTTATAAGTTTTACATTAGAAAAACAAGGTTCCAATAAATAAAATATAGGCAGGATATTACTTTTCTAAAAAATATCACGGTCGTCTTTTTAACATTTTATTGTATACAAAAGTATTTATTTATTTATCTATCTATCTATCTATCTATCTATCTATCTATCTATCTATATATCTATCTATCTATCTATCTATATATATATATATCTATATATATATATATATATAAAATATTGATAGGGAGAAATTATATATTCATGTCTTTGTTTAGTAACTTACCAGAAGAAAACGGAGCCAGTATTTCCTGTCGTTTCTCCATTTCTTTTACAGCCAACGGTTGACAATTGTATTTAATTTTCCCGACAGCGGAAACTGAAACATTTATAAATATTATGAACAGCGTTATATCAAGCTGATCATTTCAGAAACATTCCGTAAAAATATATAATTTCAACAATCTTCGCGCAAAATTTAATAAAATAAAATTCGTAAATAATCGGTGTAATACAACTACGATATTTTAAATTTATTACGAAGTGGAAAGCATCAATTATACATGCAGTATTTCACACTCTGAGGGCAACGTACACACTTTGTTGCCAAAAGGAAGCCGTATTGACAGGTGAACGCTCGACTTAATTACTTTTTTGCTTATTGAAAGATATCTCTTAACATCAAAAACGATACACACCTGAAACGCAATAACCTTTATAAATCCATTAACGTTACAGGTGGTTTATTATATCTAACTCCTTCATAGAAAAACAAAAATGTTTTATCTACCAATCTGTATCATACAGTCAAGGCACGTCGACCATTTTGTACTAGCTGAACTATAGGTAGTAAGAAATCGTAGAGATGTGGTAACGCATGAATCGCTTGGTGGGAATAACAGTATAGTGCATATCAAGCGCGTATTTGACGAAATTTGTTTAACACGAATATTTATCCATTAGAAAATAAAGATTTATTTAAAAAAAAAACATCGTTCAAAAATCGGCGAAATGAAACTTTACTTTTCAAAGTATGTTGCATTTTATTTTACTCGGAACGTTTCACCAAAATTAAAATATTTATAAATGCATTAATATTGCTAAGTGTATGCTTAATGTAAGTTTTTAATAACGCTTATGTCAGATTCAATTATTAACGAATTTCAGAAAAAACGTGATCTTTTTATTAAATTCAAAATTTCATCAAAATCACTTGAAAGATATATAAATAATACTTTGTTTTAAAGATTCTTATTCTTATTCTTTTTTAAGAATAGTTTTAATTATCAATAGTTTGATATGTTAAGTTACTTTTATTAATCCGGATCACGTATATCTATGTAGAATATTTATTATTTTGTACAATTAAGTTAAGAAGTATATGTACAGCCATTTGTTATGTACCATTATTATAACGATATAATTAATTGTTTTACGTCCAGTATAATAAATATATATGAATAGGAAATACATGAAATTAAGACTAATTTTAAATTTTCAATTAATATTAAAATTATTTAAAAATATTTAAATTAAAAAGTTCTTTTCACTTTCAACACTCATAAAAGTCTCGTGTATCATTTTCTTATAAATTTTATGTATGTGATATCCTTTCAAATTTGACTTAAAATATCCTTCCAAATTTTGAATTACAATTTACGAAAATGAAAAATAATCATCAGAAAGGAGCAAGTGGGAGAAAGAATAAGATATAGCGTGGAGCGGTTTCGGTGGGGAAGAAAGGGAATGAATCTTTCAAACAATTTGCAAATAGGGAAATGTACGAGTCTATGGCAGGTACATAACCTCTATTCTCGGGATTTGATTCGCTTCGAGTTTCGTGCTTTCGATGCGTCTTGTAAAGATTTG